ATTCTTGCACTTCTCATTTTTTCCATGTGGGAAGTGGAGTTAGCTCCCTTGTTTATATCATGAAGTTGCTCGAGGGCAAAACTTTACAAAGAATTTTTATTTGCTTGGAAATATAAAAATACCTATATACAACAGTAACACAATTCAAGGTGGATTGTCCTTATTCATCCAAATGAGAGATTTAGCTAACATTTCCAGGTCTCTTCATCAATCATTTACTCCACTGTTCAAAACATGGTGAGGAAAATAATTACACCTGGTCTGAGGTACCCAACAGTCATTCATGGACACAAAGAACATACATTATAGGGTTCACTTATCATGGTTCAAATACTTGGTTACAGCTGAGGTTTAATAAGGGGCAGCAGAAAAGAGTACACAGTAAGAGCTTGTGCAGCTAACATTTGTAAAGCACATTTCCAGGGACAGCATCTTCAGGATCAGAGTGCAGGGACCACAATAGAGAAGGGATCTCACCTCTGACTCCAAACTTCAAAGAGTATAAGATTTGAGCAAGGGCTCAAACTTTAAGGCTCTTTGATTAAGATGAGTAAAGAAACTAAAATGAAAGAAGATGGTACAGGGGAAAATGCAGTGAATTAAAAAAGTGGTTCTCCCGTGAGAGCAATGAAACCCAAAATGTGTAATAGTCATTGTACAAAAGAGAGGAAAAGAAAGTGCTCTAAACTATATAACTGCATGTATATTTAAGTGTATAAGATAGAATATGATATCACAGAGTTTTATTGGATCATTGAACAGAACTGTTTGCAGTATCATTGATGGAATGTCCACTTTACAAGCTTTAATTTTGTGACTTGAACAATTATTTCTAAGATGACAATATGTAATCCATTAACTAGTGATTTCCTACTGTTCATTTTTTTTCTGCAAATCTGTATAACTTGTACCCTTTCTCTGCTTTTTTTTTTCTTTTCTCCTTAAATAAAATTTAAAAAAAGCTCAAAGCTTAAAAAAAAAAAAAAAAAAAAAAAGTGGTTCTCCAAGTATGTCTCCTCTCTATCCTCCACCAGCACTGCCTAGAAACTACTAGCAATGCAAATTTCTGGGTCTCCCCTGAGACTTGTTCACTAGAATCTCTGGGGGTGAAGCCCAGCAGTTTTCATTTCAGCAAGCTTTCCAAGTGACACAGATATATGCCCAAAACTTAAGAACAACTGGAATACTGTAGATGATTAGATGGATTCAGAAAGTTCCATGCCTACTTCAAATTTCCTCACTGATATATCAGACTGTGCGACACATCAGGTCAATATAACCTTAAGGCCCTTTACCCATCCTAACCACTTTCCTGCACTTACTAGCACTTACCATGTACTACTACCAATAGCAATTACTAGGTACTATTACCAAATTTAATAAATGTCAAATTTTAAGGAACATTATTGCTTAACAAGTGAAGGTCCTAAATTTATTCATAGAACCTGCCTTATTGAATTATGACAATAAAACTTGCAAGATATACCCTATAGAATCCCTTTCTCTCAACCCACTCCAAGGCATCATGTTGCTGGAAATTAATCCAAATTGTGTCTAACATATGTTGAGTCAAATTGCTAACACCCATTTCAATTTTCTTTTCTCATCTAACTTTTGCCTCATAACTAGGGAAACTTATTTTCTGCTGTCTCGTCTATTTTCTCACATTCATTTCCCATTCTCTACCCAAACTGACCTTTCTAATGCTGCACAGTAGTCCTGGGAGTACACCTGTGTTAAGGAGAAGGAACCCCTTATATTTTGAAGTCACATTTGGGGAATAATTCACTTATAGAAACTTTCACAGCCCTTTCAAGTAATAGAAGCACCCTCAATATTTATATGAAACTTTCATGGCCCTAATTCTACTTTAAATCAGCATGCATTAATGCTTTCACTCTTTTGTTTTAATTGGGTTTGTGTTCTGTATTGTTTGATTTTATTATGCATGAAGAAATGGGCAGCTATTTGGATGAAAATAAAAGATATTATGGTAGCCATTGTTGATTTCCTATTATCTTGTTTTGAAGTCCTGTAATGCTTTCATTCTTTTGTTTTGATTGATTTTGTGTTGTTTGATTTTATTGTGTGCAATGATATGAACAGCTATACAGAAGGAAATGAGCGACATTATGGTAGCTATTGTTGGTTCCCTGTTGTCTTGTTTTGAAGTTCTGTATCACTTGCATTATTCTGGTTGATTTGCTTTATTCTGTGTTGTTTTTTCTTTTTATTCTCTACAAAATTTTTTTTTTTTTTTTTTTTTTTTTTTTTTTTTTTTTTTTTTTGGTCTTTTTTGAGACAGGGTCTCGCTATGCGGTTCAGGCTGGCCTTGAGCTCACTTTGTAGCCCAGGCTGGTCTCAAACTCGCAATGACCCTCCCACCTCAGCCTCCTGAGTGCTGGGATTACAAGCATGAGGCACCACACTCAGCTCTATTCTCTACAAATTAAAAAAAAATCAGTACATATCTTAAACTGTATTGTGTTTAATCTTGAGAAGAATCAATCATATTTCTTCAGTCTTTGGGCTTCTTTATAATTCCTAGGCAGAATGTGGCTGCTAACAGTTTTCTCTGCATCCCTGAGCAGAGTCCTTGTGTGCCATCACACCAGTACTTTATGTTTCTTTTTATTTTGGCCTGAAACAACAGGTATAAAAAAAAAAGAAAGGAAAAAAAGAGAAGAATGAGGAGGGATAAGGAGAAAAATGGGCCAAGGAATGAGTGAACTTTCCTTCTCATCTCAGACCTCTGCTTCCAATACAGCAGAATGAGCTTCAGGATTCAAATTAACATAAATAGGTAGTGGAAATTGTCTTTGATGATTAGTTGGCATAAAGATGGACAAATTAAAGCCACATCTTGGCTCAGAGTTCAAGAGCAAATTGTCCCCAGCTTAAAAATCTGTGTGCATAAGAACCACACACCTGGAAAGCAGCTGCTGGGAAATAAACATTTATTTAAAAGAAAGAGAGTGAGAGAAGGGAGGCGGGAGTCTTTCATGAATCTTTTCTTCTTGTATTCCTAGTCTGGAGATATTAGGCTTTGGAAAGTCACACTGTTTAGAATGGATCAACTTAAGACATCTCTATTCAAATCGCCAGAGATCACAGGACTTTCATAGTAATGTAACCTGGCCTAGCTGTCAATGCCATGCAATACCATCATGGAGAAAAGAGAAAATCCAAAGACACCAAGGTCTGGAAATATTTTCTAGGCCATTCCAAGGAGAACGAGCTGCCCAGAGGGTGGGGCACAGTCCACAGCCTGCCAGCGCCTTTGTGGCACCGTCTCCGCCTATAGGACAGCTCAGCTGTTCTCAATATGATGGAGCTGAAGAGCTTTGTTCTCAGAGCCAGTTTTTGCTCACTTTGGTGAATCAAGGCCAGCAACTGCTTAGGAGGAAAGGGTGTTGCCTCTGGGAAGAAAGCAGGAGCAGTCCTTCTAACAAAGGAACCCAGGGGAGGAAACAGACATGCAGAGGAATTCTTTTTTTCCCAAATGAGCTCCAAACTCTGCATACTCATCAAGAAGCATGGGTAGTGTGGGTAGTATTTCTGTGGTACAGGAAGAGATGAGACTCCACTCCTTCCTGGGAGACCACAGGGAGCCTAGAGATGAACAGCTGTTGCAAAGACTCCACGGTGCCCCTTTCCTTATCCCTCACTGCCCCATGCCTCCCTCCTGGGGAGGATCAGGCCAGCCTGGAAGCTGGTACAATTGCACAATGGTCCCTTCTCTAGAGGCATTATTTTGCTATCTTCAAAGGGTAGGATTCAAAGCTGAGGACTTTGTCCAGAACCATGTATAGAAAGGTCATTATTATCTAGAGGGTGAGCTATACTAGAATAAGAGAGGTTGATTAATGAAGGCATTTTATCCAGCATATTCCTTCAGAAGAGAGGAGGGCAAATGTGATCCAAGCAGCACAACCAAAGGCTTTTAAGGTGCAGTCTATGTAAGAAGAGCAGATGCAAAAACTACGTGTGACCCAAACCACAGCCTCAGGAACAATGGAAGCCAAAAAGTACTTTTAAACAGAATCCAGTTTTTAAATCACATATCTCTCTCTCTCTCTCTCTCTTTTGTTTTTTAAAAAATATATACTTGCCCCTTGTTTTTCCTTGGTTCATTAAATTTTCATTAAAATATGAATCCCATTTTCTATTAGCCTCCCAACATAAATTAACATTTCATCAAATTTAATTCATATCAGTCTTTCAGGTGGAAAATATTGCCTAAATCAAAGTTCTTTTCATTCCTTCCCCTAATCATGTATCCCTCTTTACTTCTGAGAGAAGTAACGGGAATGATAGGAGTATGCATTTATTGCAAACATAGGTATTTTAGATGCTTAGGCATCTAAATGTTTTGCATTTAAATCTATACGAATGGATTCATGCTATACATAGATAAGGTTTAGTAGCTTTTTTATCTGCTTTTATATTTTTTAGAGTGATTTATATTAAAATGTGACTAATTCATCTGAACATTTATATTGATTTTCAAAATGTAAACTGAGCAGTCATCTGACAATGGTATTCCTGAAAGATGTGATACTGATCCTAAGACAGAATAGTTTACATAGCTGTAAAATCTACCAACATTGACAAAACCACAGAGCAATCATAATCATGTAACTTTTCTACTTGGAGAGTGCTTTCTACTTTCCAAAGCATTTTTAATTACCTAATTCAATCTCACCAAAATCTGTGAGGCTAGCTGGGGCTCATTTCTTTATTTGTGGGATAAAGGAGTGGACAGTGGTTGGTCAAGATCCTTTTCATGATCTGAGTCAGACTTGATATCTCGGCTTTGCAGGTCAATCCAGGCTCAGAGGTACAGAAAGACTTAGCTATTAACATGGTCCTGATTAAGTAAAAAGAGTTAAACCTTGTCATCTCATCCTTTATACAAAGAGTACCCCTTCACTCCCACAGGATGGAGCTTATGCCAGTATTTTAGCTCTTAAAAGTATCACTTGCACACAAACATGAACTTTATTTAACCACTTTTATTGATTATTAGGAGTATAGGGTTCTGACTGTATTGTATAGAACTGTTACCAGATTTCATTGCTAGAGGCCAATTTCTGTTGCAAAAATGAGAGATTATTTTAAATTGTATTAATACATGCACAAACATTGATTTATCAGGACTCATGTCTAACAGAAGGAAAGTGGCCTTGTTCATGGTAATATGAAGCCCCATTCCAACAAAGGCTAAAACGCTGGCAGTATGAACATCCAAGACAACTGCCATGAAATTCTTCACCCCACCCAAGTAACCCCCCAAGAAACCACACAGGGAGATGCTCCTGCAGGTGGCACCAACAGCATCAGCTTGGTGCACTCAGCATCATTTTGTCCCCCACACTCCCTGTGGATGAGAGGCTCAGGGAGGCCTGGCAGGATCTGGGATGACCCTGTCCCCACACTGGGACCCTGGCTTCAGGACAGGGATAACTCCCATGCGTGTTCACAAATGCTGCCTTCTCCATTTCCCCAGAACCAAACATACCTGAAATTATATGCAAAATCCTCTGGTACTCCCTGCTGTATGCAAATTTTTAAAAATTAAAATAGAGAATTTTAGATAAATGCCATCTGAATATACTAATACTTCCATTCCTAGCTTATAACAGAAAGATTTGTTTCTACTACTACTGGGAAAGACTGAAAAACACTTTGTTTTCCTGCTGTGGTTAATGAGCCTCGTTCCTATCAGTTCCCAGCCCTGGATCTTTGCCTGGCACATTAGAGGCTCCACAAGCACCTGAAAAAGGAATGAATACACAAGTGCTAGTACCTGCTGGGTGCTACCAACATCTTTTATTGGACTTACAGCTTAGTTAGCAAATAACGGTGTGGGACAAATTCATTTGGCAACTATAGAAACAGAAAAAAACAATCTCTAAACAGTTCCCTAACAGCCCTCTACATTGGAAATGACTACCTACAAGAATATACGCAAACAGCTTTCACATTATCTATTGTTTGTATGGCTCATTAAAAACCTTTAGTGTTGCAGCCCATACCATCCTCTAAAAGGTTCTTTATCTTACATCCATGTTTCACAAGTTGATATCTAACACTGAAGACAAATTTCTTTAAAAACACTATTATTTGTGGAGACACAAAGCCTGTGTCTTCTCCCACTAACACCCTGAGTGATGTATATACCTGGGCATAGGTAGATCTTGGAAAGTGTCAAATGCTGCCCTAGAAATAGTGTCCAGGTGCCAAGATAATGTCATGGGAGTGGACATCCCAAGCAACAGAGTGAGGAACCTAAGACCTGGTGCTTCTATGCCATGATACCCAGACATGAAAAAACATCAGTGCCCTAAGCCCCCAGCCCATGTGGCCTCCCCCTCATGGTCCTTGAGTCTTCTGTCTTGAGAGTACCTTTGAGGGAGGATGGTGAAAAAAGGAAAACTGGACAAGTGGCCCACCCTAGAGTAAGAACATCGATTCTGGAAGACCAGTACAGGATCATACCCATGACTGTGACCTGAGATGCCAGCCTCACTGAGGCTTTGGAGATCTTATCCAGAATTCAGGAGAGAAAACTAAAGAGAACAACCAAAAGGGATTCATAGGAGCATTGTTCTATCTATAGTAATAACGGCAAACAGTCAGAATCCCCTGCAGCCAAGGATGGGCACAAGGACAGCAGCTGCCTAGTGGCCAGCCCACCCGGCCACCCGCCTGCAGCTTAGTTGTAGGAAAGGTAATCGATGAGCCGGGGAGGGATGTTTAACTTGGCAATTTTCTCCAGTCCTCGAACACCAGTGGCTTTCCTCAGGCTTACCCTGCAGAGCTGTGACAAGGTCAGAGGTGTCTCTGGAAAAAAGGAAAAAGGAAGAAAAGGAATTTTGTGAGGTCTGACAAATTTTAGGAAAGAGCATATCCTACAATCTAATTGCACTAAGATAGAATAGGAAAAGCCTCTCTTTGCTCTGAGATTAAGATGCACCAGCAGGCCTCCTCTGGAAGGTGTCAGAAAGGACAGCTAAGGACTAAGGAAGAAAGATCAGAAAATAGAATTCAGATAATAGCCACAGATTTCATTTTGTGAGTTTTCAGTTTCGGGGAGGGGATTTGGTTTGTTTCTGCTTTGGTGGGATTTTTTTATTTGCTTTTTGTTTATTTTTTAAGCCATAATGTTATCATTTGGCACAAAGGTATGTCAGCCAAAAACTATTCTGCAGCTAGTAAGGCTCATGTGTCAATCATTCAGCCAAATGTGTGCCAGGGAAGGTGCTAGTAGCTGGCTCTTGCTGCTCCCGGCCCCACTTGCACCCATGATGCACAGGCCACAGGAAACCCATGAACTGGTGACCTGCACAAAACATCACCTATGGACAAAATGCTCAAATGAACACCGTAGCGGACAAAGACAGTAGCCCAAGACTAAACATAGCGCTATCGTCGGAAACTGGGGAGGAACCAGCAAACCAGGGGGCCTAGCTGAAGGATGGAGGTGTCTGGTGGCTGACACAGAGAATATCTGCAGACCAAGCTCACTTTCATAGTACTCAAAGCACTTGGCGGGGGCACTGCTGCTCCACGTGTAATCTGACGGCTTCTTCCCCCTGTTGTCTCGGGCATAGATGTTGCCTCCAAACTCAATCAGCATCTCAATGAGATCTACATTCTTCACCTTGGCCGCATGATGAAGGGCTGTCTCGTGAAGTTTTGCTGCATTTACATTGGCCCCTAGAGGTCCAGAAGGGAGAACACATGTCACCAAGACCGGAACTTAGAACCAGGGAAAAACAGGCTCACATCTTTGTTCGGTACAGCATGCAAAAGCAATCCCCATCCAGAAGACAAACTCAAGACACACAGATGCTGCTGCTGTAGTTTTTCAAGACATTGTTCAAAGGCCCAGAGTGATAATTTTTTTTTATTTCTTTATGAGAAAGGATTGGGTAATAATAAAGAAGTATAACGTCAGAACCAAAAAGAAGAAAAATAAAACAGAAAGCTTCGTTGCGGTTCAAACTCACTTCTGGAATCCTGTGCAGTCTGCTTTCAGAGATCCTCAGATTTCTGGATGCTCCAATTGAGCCATCTAAGTGTCCCTGCCTGTTCGAAGACACTGACACACAAAGAAAGCTTCTTCCTACTGTGGGCACACTAGGCTCCAAAAGTACAGGCTGAATGAAAGAATGGATATCCCTTACATATAAAAGTTCTTTTACAAAATGAGTAAAACAAAGGGAAAATATGTAATGTTCCCATAAGGTTAACTGAGTTCAGCTTTGCCTTTCTAATCTTTCTGGGATATTCAGAAAGATGAAAAACAAAATGAGTAGCTAAATACAGTACTTTTCAAAGCATTAAAAAAAATTTAAGAGTTTGAGAAAATCTATTCGTGTAAAATATCATTCTCAGGACACAATTAGTTATCACAGTCCATACAATGAGATCACCTGGGGCTTCAGAATTTGAAAAAAATACTCATTTCTTTAGTCTGCTTTTAAGTACATACAGGGACTATAAAAGGAGATAGAAGTATTTTAAAGAGCTTAGAAAATAGCCCAACATCAATAAAGTATCTCCCCAATAACTGACACAAACCACGACATAAAATATGCCAGCAGCATGCCACTACTTGGAAGTAATTTTAGAAAGATAAGTGAGGGGGAAATTAGCAGGTAGAAGTCTGTTATATTAGTCCTACTGCTCAAAAAATATTTGAAAATTTTGCTTTCTACTTGAAAAATTTTTATGTTCCTAAAGGAACACAAGAACTATGTTCATGACAGTGCTCACAGTACGAGCCTGGAAATACAGGCCCTTCAACTCAGTCACAGACGTGAAGAAAAGCACTTTGATTTCCCTCAACTAAAATTCAGAACTCAGGTCAGGAAAGCAACTCTCACTCTAGAAAAAGGCTAGATCACCTAATTATTTAATTTGGCAAAAGGAATCACAAAATATATATTTAAAAGTAATACGTTAAATAAAAGAAATGGTTTCCCCACAATCCAACCACTGGTTCACATCCAGAGTTTTCTTCCAATACTTGCCTTTGGGATAAGTAATTCTTATAGTATTGCAGTCATAATGCAAATGTAAATTTTAACACTAACCTTAGATTTATAATGAAAAATAGATTGAAACATGGACAGACTCTAAAGTCCAGATAGCTTTCAATCACATTATTAATTCTGGCAACATTCCTGCCAACCAGGAAAGAAAGTCACCACCTGTTTTGACAATGGAGGAAGAGGTGTAAGCCAAGCAAAGCCACTCTCTTAAGGTCAGAGGGAAACACAGAAGCTGGCAAAAGCTCTAGAAGTCCTCCCTCCATTTCTTGTTTACTATCATGAGACAAGGCCTTGGGTGGTCACTCTTTCAAAGTGGCCTTCCCAGGGTACACAGTGGCATCTTTTCCCAACTTGTTGATTGAGTGTTAAAATAATGATAGAAGGTGAATAAAGGGGGAGGCAGGAATCACGAGCAGCAGTTAGAAACATCACACCACAGGTGCACACTTCCTCTAGAGGAAACACATCTTTTTCTAGCTTTTCCAAGTGGCCTGTGACTCAACCTCAATAATTCAGAATCACTATTTATAAAAATCCATTTGTGGGCTGCGCATGATGGTACATGCTTGTAACCCCAGCATTCAGGAGGCCAAGGCAGGAGGATTGCTGTAAGTTCGAACCCAGCCTGAACTACACAGTGAGACCCTGTCTCAAAAACAAAACAAAACCAAAAAAAGTCCACTTGTTAGTACATATGGGTATGCCTGCTACCTCTTCTCTCTACTTCTGTTTAGGTTTGAAAGTTTGAAATATTTCACAGTAAAAAAAAAATAATTACTTTTTTTTTTTTTTCCAGTACTGGGGATTGAACTCACAACCTTGCACTTACAAGGCAAGCACTTATGCCGCTGAGCTAAATCCTGGGCTAAAAAAATAATTTCTAAAATAATAATAATACACTTGAGCCAATAAGGTCTTTTAAAAAATACCATTGACAAGATTAAGATGGCCACTGGGGATTACACTCAGAGCTGACAACCTCTCATAACAAAGCATCAGGCTGAAACTGACAATACCATGAAAGATTTCCCCAAAAGGCCTAATCACCTTTAACTGCCCAGTTAGATGGAAACTCCCTTTAAAAACTATTGGGTGATCTTTTTAAAAGCTATAATGGACATTTCAGTTGTCTGCCTGTTCCTTTCCAGTTCTCCCCACTATGTAGCCGCTACCTGACAACACAGAATTGGGGCGCTGGGTGGAATGGATCCAGGTGTGGGTCCTGACTGGTTCAGACTCCCTCCCTACCACAGTAACTGGTCTGAGTAATTCGGGATTGAGCCAATCAGAAACCTGGAGCCAAAAGAATCTGGTTAAACTAAGGTGTGGCACCCACAGACTGGGTAGATGGAACAACAGGGGAGATATGCCAGACACTGTCTAGAAGGTCAGTTTCACTCTTCTGAAGAAGCCACCCGAGCCTTAAAAAGTCCGCCATCTTAAGTACCTAACTCTGAAGAAAACAGAATTGAAAGTTCAAAGGAATGGAGGTCTTAGTGACACCACTGAACCATCAAGTTAAACTGACTCTAAATCTGCTCGACTTCTCATCTTTGAAGTCAACTGAACCAAGAAATGACCTTCATTGTTCACTTCGTTGTAAATGGTTTCTTAATCACAGTCAGCCCTCCCATAGGTTCCACACTCATGGAATCAGTCCATGGAGGATCAGAAACACGCAGAAGAAAAGACTGTCTCTGTGATGAACATGTACAGACCATTTCCTGCCTTCTGTACTCAGCCTTTTCCACACTCCTTGACAATGGCTGGATTCCAAGTGCTCCATTCTCCTAACTGCTGCTGATATTCCCACTATACCCTCATCTTTCTTGGGTTTGCACAGGAAATCATCATGCAGGTATTATGGATAGTTGCCAGTGTCCTCTAAAAATAGCCATCCACATTTATTGAGCAGCAACTATATACCAGGCATTGTGGAAACATTAAGGATCTTCTCAATAACCCTACAAAATAGTTTCTACTTTTCCAGTTTTATAAGATTCAGAAACTGAGGTCAAAGGTTCCCAGGCAAATCAAGGAGCCAGCTTTAAACCCCGATCTGTGAGTCTTTGCCTGCCACAGAAGAGGGGAGGCACCCATGCAAGTAAACACCAGATCAGGTAAACAACCACCCACCTGCATTGAGCAGCACTTTGACACAGTCCAGATGTTCCCTTGCACAGGCAACATGCAGAGGGGTCCCGAAGTGGCAATCATGGGCTTCCAGATTGGCACCAACATCTATAAGAAGCCTCACACATTCAGAACTCCCTTAAAATAAATGGAAAAGCATGTAAACATTCATGGATATGTACATTAGAAATAATAAGCATGACAAATGGCAGCTGGAACAGGTTGCCCTGTGTCTGGCAGTAAGGAACAGGGAAAACAGTTCATGTCCCAACCTAAGGAACAGTTTGAGCCTACACAGACCCCGGGAAGCCAGTAGATGGTTCTCTTTTCCCCTGAGGCATGGGATCACTCCTGGCCACCAGGCAGCCAGAGAAAAGGGATACAGCTGCCTCTTGTGGTGCGGACAAAAGGTTTGTGACGTCTGTGGGAACAGCTGGGAAGACTCTGTTGACCACTCCCCGATCTAAGGCTGTCTCTGTACTGTTTCTGGGGAATGTCCAGCCCATGGGAATGACGCACAACTGCAGGCATCCCACTCCAGCCCCCTGGCCAAGCCTTCTTGCTGTGCAGGTCACCCCAGTGCCTTTCCCACCTTTTTCCTGGCTTTTCTTCCTGCGTCTTCAGTGGAGCTTTGGATCAAGGTTCAGGGCCTTGTGCTTTCTTTTCCTCACACATTCTCTTATCACATAGTTACTTCTTGGTTGTTGGTAGCTAATCAGTTTCCACCTCCAGACCTGAAGTCCAGCTCCATATCACAACTGGTTGCTGGCCAGGCTCATCTGGATAGTATGACCACCACACAGTCACTCTTTCCTCTTCCTAGGGGTCCCTGCTTCTGGCTAATCTCTTTTGGTCAGTGGCATCTCTCCCAGCTCCAACCTGACTTGTTTTTGAGACCTTGTAATTCACCATTGTACCAATTTCTATGGATGTTTCCCCAGACATTTTGAATGAGCCCTTCCTAAGCCACCATCCTACCTACTTCAGACTCTGAGAGCTTTGAACCTGAATCATTTTGATGGCCTTTAATAACACATTGACTCACCACTCATGCAGGCCTCATGAAGTGGAGATGCTGTGTATAATGGGGGATTGACTTTCGCCCCATAGGCGAGCAAGAGTTTCACACACTCGATGCTGCCTGAGGCACAGGCATCGCAGAGAGGGGTACTGCCATCAATGTTGCGGGCATCCACCTGGGTAGGGGGAGAAGAAACAAATGTCAAAGGATGAGATAGACATCGTGTAACTCGCTTTCTCATCTTCCTGCAGATTCACCTTTGAAAAGACACTTCTCTGAAGAGCCGTTTTGCTCTTATTTACTGAGACACCAGCTAGGCAAGGCAGTTCAAAGAGAAAAACACACAGCTGGGCAAGGTCCCCTTCAGCCTCCCAAGTACAGGTGTTCCATTTGGGGTTCTTATCTCAGGGCAGATCAGCTCAGTGTCAGCCTTACCACCACCTAAATCTAAAAAGCACAGAGCAGGAAAGGAGACCCTGAATTTGCAAGCTGGGGGAGACAAGGTCTAAAATGGGTCTTAACTCAAGCTTGAGCTATAAGGCATGTGGAAGCCTGCTTAGCATGCCTCTTGTGCTGTCCCAAATCACAGGCTGGGGAAAAGGTAGCTCCCCATTCTGGAAAATTTTACTTAGAAACTCATACATAATGAGTTCAAGGCCAGCAAGGACTACACAGCAACACCTTGTCTCAAAAACAAAACAAATAAAAACAAAAAGGCCTGTTCGGTCTATGAATGCTTTCTGGCCATCAATGTGCTACCTTTCAACTTCCAGCACATTCTATCCTGCTACAGTCTTCCTGCCTTTTCTCTTTAATCTATCATAAGATGTTCAGTCTATCAGTGTATTAGCACATCACAGAAGGCAAATCCCAAGTCATTTCCTCCTCCTAGAGGTCTCTCCAGTCAGCCTCATCCTTTCCTGCAGATGCATTCAAGCCGGAAGGAGTCTTTCCTGCAGGGTCACTCACCTGAGCTCCAGCTGCTAGCAGCAGTTGCACGCACTGTGTCTGGCCCTGCAGACTGGCCGCATGCAATGGTGTGATGGAATCTACTGTGACCTGGTTAACACAGGCACCACTCTCGATCAACTGCTGGAGCTGCAAGCTCTCACCTCGCTGGGCAGCCTCATGCACAGGAGTGCGCTCCACCCAGAAACCTGCAGAAGAAACAGTGCTGTGCTAAGACCTTGACATTTCCATTCAGGGCAAATGAACACACATAAGACTCCAAGTTCCCTTGAGAACACCCAAGTTGCAATACACAATCATATAATTCACCCCAATATGCCTATTAAAATACTTGAATGATTCCCATCATTTGGGTAGTGGAGTCTAAACTGGTAGGTGTGTGTGATGTGGACCTAGCACATCTCTGTGAACCCACCTGTAGCTCATCATTACAATTTCACACCTATTCCTCTCCATACTGTACCATCTCAAGATGGTGCCCAGCCCAGCAGAAATGAACAGTAGTCTCACAAACGGTATTGGGTGGCAATGAAAAGTGGCTGTGTATCCCTTGAAGGTCAATGTGGGGGCACCAAAACCCTATGGTAGGAGGAGGGTTGCAGCTTAAAAAAACAGGGGGGAGCAGAGTGATCCCTGAGTCTTGCAGAAAAAAAAGCAAAGAGCAGTTCAGGAAGACCAGGCCAGAAAAGTCCGTAGAGCAGGGCCCATATGGCAAGTGTGCCTCCTGCCACACATCCATTCAGCAACACATCTAGACAGAGTCAGCATTCTCCACTCCCAGGTGCAAAGATGAATGAACTCAGCAACAAAAAGTTAACAACCAGAGGCAAGGCAAACACAGAAATGATCCAAAACAACAAGGTAACTGTGACAGTGGAAGAACATTTCAGGTAATGGGAACTTAGGAGCAAGATCCCAAAGATGGTAGAGAAGCATCACAGAGGTAAAGCCATGGCTGTCCAAATTAAACTTTGCTTATCCATCTGTGTTCCTAGTACCTAGCATGGTCTGTGGCTTAATCAGAGTGCTCATGTCCACCTGCTTGCTAAATTATTGTATGCATGCATGAATAATTGAATTACTAAAATGATTTATAAAGTCTAGGCATAGAATTTTTTAAAAACTCTAAATCTAATTCTTTCTATATTCAGTCTTGAAAGGAAGCCAAAATATTGGTAACTGTTATAGCTTATATCTAGATGTCCCCCCCCCCCCAAGTCTCATGCACTCATAGGTGGGGACTTGGGACTTGGCTGGGTCATGAGTGTGTGGCACTGGATTAAGACTGTCTGATACTGGGTCAGCTCACTGATTGCTTAAGCATAGTTCTGGCTGTGGCTGAATGGATTTACTGAAAACAGAAACCCCAACCTGGGTGTGGATGGCACCAACCAATACACTTGGAGCTTGCAGAGAATACAAAGAGAAAGAGGCTGCAGCTGCTTCTCATCTGCCATGCGTGGACTTTTTCTCCTCCATGCTCCTTTACCATCTGCCTTTCCTCCTTTAACTTGTGAATGTCACATATTTTGCCCTAGCAATGAGAAAGCAACTAAGACAATAACCATATCTTCTAGTGAACAAATATCAGCTGCAGTTGTCTTAGCAGCAACAAATGAGGTAGAGTTCAAAAGCAGCAAATGTGAGGGAAGGAAAAAAAAAGGAAGGATGGGAAGGAGAGAGGGAGAGACGTGACATTTCTGACCATCAAAGGGCACAATAAACAGAATGAGCCATTCTCTATGTAAAGACAAGCAGCCAGACCACAGAGATTGGCACCCCAGTAAGAGGTAAGGGAAAGTACAACAGGTAGATATGATCCTTCAATTTATCTCTGAACCTCAGAAGGGTGAGCACAGGAAATGTGGTCAATTAATAAAGTGACCAGCTAGGCCTGACTTCAAGTTATTTTCAGGTCCTGCACCTGGACCCCAGTTATGATAAATGCCTGTCTTTCTGATCCCCAGCACCTTCTCCCTTGGAGGACATCTGAGACCCTGAAATGTTCAGCACACTGTCACTGAGACTTGAGTTCTGCACCTCAGTTCTTGCCAAATAACTGATCTTCCATCATCCCATCCTCTCCCTCTTATACAGCTAAATCACAAGTCAGTCATGAGGAACCTTTCTGGAGCTCCTTTCTGCAGGATAAAACTGCATGCAGGGTATGCAACCTGCCATGCTATGGTCCCAGCCTCTGTTTTTAGTCTCCTTATCCACCTATCTACAACGATACTGAAATGCATACAGTCCAGACTGTCTCATGGTCTCATGCTTCCAGGCTATGTATGCTTTCTTTCTTTGCTTGGAATGCCCACCCTCTGCACTCCCTTGTCTCATCCCACTCTATTCCAGCCAAGTTAGTAAATTCCTCCTCATGTACTAAGACCTGGTGGAATGTCTACTCCTCAGGAAGCCTCCAGTGTGTGGCCCACCTGCCCTGCTTTCTGTGATCTCCAAACCAACAGGTGAGTTTCACTTTTTCCTTCTTGGCTTTCCCCTTCTCCTCTTCCTGTTTCTTCCTCTTTCTCTCTCTGACTTACAACTAGCTCTGCCACCTTGAAAAATCTACCCTCTAGAAGTCCTGGTCTCCTCCTTTGTAAAATGGAGATATTTATACCTATGTCTACCCCACAGGATGGCTGAGAAAAGACCAACGAATGCCCAGACATTATCTATTTTTGTAAATGTTTAGTGACAAATGCTGTGACTATCACAGGATCATTATCATTTTTACTATTTCTGTGAGTCCTATTTGTAGTACTTATGTAGTTCTCTCTGTCTTTGTTCCATAACAGGCACTACCTGGTTCTCAAAGATCCAGTAACTCCTCTCTTTTCTTAGTCACCAGTGGTCAACCAAGTCCCTGCTTGGCTTACCTGCTCAGTCCTGTGGTCCTCAGAAACTGAGCCCTATGTCCTTAATACATGGTAAACCATGGTCAGCTCCTCAGAGCTCACTGCTAAACGCAGAAATTCTGTTGGCCTGGGCCAGGGATTTAGCTCAGCAGCATGAGTGCCTGCCAGACAAGTGCAATGTCATGAGTTTGATCTCCAGTACAAAAGAAACAAACAAACAACAACAACAACAAAAGAAATTCTGCTGGCCAGACAGCCATAGTAGGAGTATTTACACCAGGAAAAACAGTAAATTGGAGATTGAGTTTATTTATTTTTATAACCCTGCTCCCAGTTTTCCAGCATTCACTCCACTTAGTCATTTCTGCTCTTTGAGGGAGGATGGAGCTGGCCCAGTCTTGCCCACTGCAGAGCACAGGACTCTCAGACAGCCATCCTTCATACAGCTGTCACGGCTCACCCTGATGGACCTTACTTGACTCCAACTATGACCCAAAGTGCACCTCTCTCAGCACCAGCCCAACTCTAACAAAAAGCATGTCTTTTTAAATGTTTTAATTATTGTCTTACTTTTTTCTCATCACTGAGACAAAATACCTGATGCCCAAAATTAGGGAAGGAAAGGTTTATTTAGCTTACAGTTTCAGTCCATACTCAGTTGGCTCCAAAGCAGGGTGGTGTGGCTAAGGGGCAACCTTTCATGGTGGCAGCAAGCAACAAGAGCAAACAAGGTAAAAAGGAGAAAGCATGTCTCTTTCCCTTCCTTATGTAGTATACCTGGGAGGGTGCAGCACTCACATCACTAATCTAATCCCTGCACTGGACAACAAACCAGTCATAAATGCTAGATTCAGCCACCTCCATGACTGCATGAGGCTTGGGGGGGCCATCCAAACATAAATGATAACATTTCACCCGCAGTTCCACAAACACATATATACATTATTTATGCAAAAGACATTTAGTCCCGAGTTGCCAAAATCTTAAAAGTTTCACATTGTGAAAAAGTCCAAGACTCAAGTCTCCTCCAAGCAAAATCTTTCACTTTTGCAGTTTTGGGCTACAAAGTGTGGAGACCCACTGCTTCCTGTACTGCCCTGAGGCCATCTTTTTTATTTTGCTGTGCCTTCTCAGCAATTAAGATCTCAGCTCTGTCTTTACAGTCCACAGCTATCCGTCTAAACTCAAATGTTTTAAATCACTCTGCTGGGCTGGAGATTTAGCTCAGTGGCTTAAGTGCCTGCCTGGCAAGTGTGAGGTCATGAGTTCAATCTCCAGTATGAAAACAACAACAACAACAAAAAATCACTCTGATGGGCTCTTTGCTCTTGATTTATAACACAAATCTGGCTAAAAGCCCACAACAATAGCCGCCACCACCTCAACATTCAACTGCCTTGACATTTCTTCTGCCAGAGTAATCAGTCTGCCACCCTTAATCTTAGTTTTAGGCAAGGTCTCTGGACATGAGCAAAATGCAGAAAAATTTTCAGCCAACCCATAACACACATCATCTGGAGTCCAGCACCCTATATTGTCCTTCTTTCCAGCAGAATCCTCCATAGTCTGGTCTTTATGGGCAGGATTTCTATCAGCCTTCTGATCTTCTGACCTCTGACCAGAATCTCACATGCAGAACAGCCTAAGGCATTCCAGCGCTACTCTTTTAGGTGACACCTCTGAACTTTGCCAAACTCTTCCCACAAACCATTTCCAAAGGCTCTTGAAACACACGGTCAGGAAAAGTCACAGCGACAACTCCACTCCTGTGCTATCAAATTCTGTTTTGGTTACTTTTTTCTCGTTGTTGAGACAAAATACTTGATGCCCAAAATTAGAGAAGGAAAGGTTTCTTTAGCTTACAGTTTTTTAGAGGTTTCAGTCCATGCTCAGCCACGCCACCCTGCCTTGGAGCCAGCGGAGTATAGAATAAAATCTCAAAATAGAAAAACTGCCCGGCTCCCTGCCATGCTTGGTGGACTCTGGGGTCCCTGGCCTGCTGGCACCCTCAGTTCCGGAGGCTGAGCAGCCTGCGGTGAGTGTCCCCATACCATCCCCCAAAACTAGGGAGTTTGGGATCCTCACTGAGGCCCAAATAACTTTGCAGCTTCCTGCTGCATTGAACCAGCTCAGCGGGTCTTGAGCTCGCCTGCAACAACTGCCCCACTCCCTGCCATGCTTGGTGGACTCTGGGGTCCCTGACCTCCCCGCGCCCTCAGTTCCCGAGGCTGAGCAGCCTATGATGAGTGTCCCCACACCATCCCCTGAACCAGGGAGCTTGGGATCATTGCTCTCACCAGCCAAGGAACTTCACAGCTTCCTGCCACACT